CTTTTGGATCGCCATGCAGCAGGAGACGCATTTCTGATCCGCATTCTCATATATGATGGATTTGTTTGGACCTCTTAAAGAAGTCTTATGAAGAGAAAGGTTTTCCAAACGATGATGAGAAAGATTTCGTGCCCAATTGGCTTCGTACTCGTCCTGCTATTTTTTATGAAGCAGGGATAAAAAAACTGTCAGTGCGGTGGCAAAAATGTATAAACATTAGTGGATAAAACATAGAAAAATAATTTTGTGTTAGTTTTCACATGTATTAATCAAATAAATATTTTTTGGACAAGTCTCGTTTATATTTGATCCACCTTAATATAATTAAATATACACGACTGTTTGCGCTCCAATTATTTAATTAACGCCATTATTCTTTATTGTCCTTTTAATTAACAGAAAGGGAGTAAAGAAACAAGACAGAGGAAGATAGAAAGAGAGAGAATACGCTTATGTGCATGAGAGAGAAAGAAAAGGAGAGGATATATGTGCATACTTGCATAGTATTGTGCATACACGAGCGATCGTGCAAGAGATAGATGGACCGATGCTGGAGGTTACCGTATCATTAACGAATATACCGGGCACAAGCGCACGTTCTCGGCGTGTTCGACGTGGATACATTTACAAGGATGCGGAGTAACATTCCGCGATGCTCTCGTAACGCGCTGCGGTGGGCGCATCGATCTCCCCGGGAATTAATTGCACATGTCGGCGCGCCGATCGCTTTGTCACTTTCATGATTTGCGTACGCGCCGATGTCGTGGCGTGTACTGTGCAGATTAGAAATTCTGCACGCGTTTCGAACGTCCAGCGTCCCCGTATACTCGTGCGTGACGTGACGCTCGCGTCGTTACGGTATACAAACGCGTCGATGTCTGCGGTATCTGTCCGCAGCCGATTGCCCTCGTTTGGCGAATCTCTCTCCCCTTCGTAGACGCCTCGCGACGCAATTTAAGATAAAAGAGCTTTTATTTTAAATTAATCATTCTCTTTACTCTCGTCGTGTGTTTTAAGCGGAAAACGTGTGCCGAGGTACCGATGGTGAAACTTCCCGCAATTCATCATCATCACGATGTGCCCCAAAATTTCAATTATCCTTGTAATCTTTACAAAGTTGTAGACAGGTAGAGTGTAACGTGTATATGTATAATATAATGTAATAGAATTAATAAAGAAAACTGTAGAATTAATAGCCGTGTGTCACGAAACGCGTACGGTTTATAATTATAATCTTATTATCGTTGACGTGCAAAATTCAAATATCGTCCTCCATGTTTGTGATCCAAGGCTGTTTGTGATATGTAATAAATTTACTCGCTGCAATTTAGAATACGCCGAGAGCGCTAATATTTCGACGTTTGCCATTACTTTGCGCCCCGACATTTCCGATAATCCTAAATTTATTGCGAAATAATTGACGCTCGATTCGATAAAATGTAATTTGCATATCCAGTTATTAGTTATCGGCACAGCGTTCATTGATGCGAAACATTTGTTATGAAAATAATTCGATATTGAATAATTCTTCTTTGTTGTTGCATTAACAATGTTACTCGGTAATAGCGAAGTTTTCGCGCTCGGCATTATGCGAATCCGGTTGCATCTGACAATGCCATGGATGGAAACGAGGGCCGTTCAGCTCGTTTCCGTCTTACGGGGAACAATAACCGTGTCTCTATCGGAAGATAACGTGTCTTCAGCAGAAGAGACCGCATTGCCACGAAATTCTCCCCAGTCGTACACACTCTTGTGTAAACTATTAATGATTCCAACCTTGGGAGTGAATCGCGTAGTTAGTACAAGGCAGCAAATACTGGGACATAACGTTACGGTAAACGAATTAAATGTATTAAGGGGTTACATACCTTTGTCGCGCGCAAGAATGGCCTATTTTCGGGAATTTTTTTTTTCAGTAAATAATGCAGTAATCAATACAGAGTATTTTTTATCTTATTTGTTATATATTTGAGTATATGTATATAAAAAATTATTAAGTTTCATAAAAAATTGTAACTTTTATGGCAAGTTGCATGCACCAATGATGAGCGTTCATGATCCTAGTGTCTGCATGATTTTGCATTGTAGGTTAGTTCGATCTGAAAAATAAAAATATTTTCTTATAAAGTTGAAAGTACTCGCAGCCACATAAGCAGCAGTTTCAATTATTCTAAGGCTGCCAAAAGTCGATTTCAGAGCGATCTTCCAAATTTTTTGATTATAGCTTTCATTATTGTTTTGTGTATAACCTCCTAGACACCTTTGCAGCAATTCTTCTTTACTTAGGGCTTCGTACACAGTCGAGCGCGTCTCGATGCGTCTCGAGCTCGGTGCACACCAAGCGGTCGAGCGCGTGAGTCATGTTCACTCTCGCATTTTCGTTCATATCTTTGTCAATTTTGTGAATATTTTAATGCGCTTTAAATCATTGATTTTTGAAACTATATACAATTTAATAAGCCGATAAAAAAAAATCGATTTTTTACTCGACAAAGGTATGTAACCCCTTAAGGTCGACTTACACTATACGAAACGATACGACAAAAACGTAAGGATAAATACTTGTTAATATTTATAGATGAATATATTTTATCGCGCGTACCGTATCGTTGTAATATAAATCAACCAGGAAAAAGAGATGAAAGTAAATAATTCGGTTGTTTCATCTGTGATAAATTTTATTTAGCGCTTAACTTCTAGATGTTGCTTTTTAATCCACGCAAAGCATTGCGAGTGTAATAATTTTTGAAATTTATTTTTTCTCTTATTTTCTCTTTTCTACAAATGGCTTACGTTTAAATATATAAAAGTATGTTTCCGTAATAAAATTTTTATTTTTTTATAGTACTATTAAAGGATTATCGCACTTTGTATAAAAGCGTAAAACAATTGTTAATTAAATAAAACGTTTCTATATCACTGATGTACCGAATATTGCATCCAGATGTCACGTCTCCTACATCGTCTATAGATGATATGACATTGCGTTAATTATCTTGATCAACGCGACGCGTAACATGTCGTAACATTTCATAGAATATGTCGTGCGATATTTCGAGGTAATAAGAGAAAACGCGTGGTCGGAAGTTATTATCTTTGGATTTACATAGCGTCCGGGGATTTATATGCGATCATAATTTAAATTTCACGAAAATTCATCTCGCTAGATAGATCTTTTGCGGACGGCATATGTGTTTCAGATCAAAATAGATTTCGTTTTAATCACACACGACGTCCATAATCATACGCGTAAGTAAATATTCAAATTTCCAGAAGATAAATATTTGGATTAACTTACACCTCACGGATCGTTTTCATTTTTACATATATTGTAGAGGATACATTCCTAAGTGATACACGCTTTGAATTTTGTGGCGCTCTCTTGTCGGCTCCACCCCTCCCCCGCCCACGCATTCAATAAATAATATTTTTGAAGACATGACTCAGAAATTCATGTAGTCGCATGTTAAAAGCTGTTAACAAACTGCGAGAAATAGGTGAAACACATTGTTGACAAAATATCCATCACTGTGTACCTATCCCGTAAATGTAAACGAACACTTTTTCGTCTGCTCTACAACAAATACAATGTACACAAATCATTCATTTTTCCTAATATTACTTTATAATACCTGAGAAAAAGCATTAAAATTGTGAAACTTCAAAATCGCATATCTCTGGAAACAGAAGAGAGCGTCACAAAATTCAAAGTGTGTATTACTTAGAAATGTACCCTCTACAATATATGTAAAAATGGAAACGATCCGTGAGATGTAAGTTAATCCGAACATTTACCTTCCAAAATATCCGTGAGTGAATTCACGTGTTCGATGAGAAGAGCTCAGTGGTACATAATTCAGGCGTTGGCATTACATCTATTTGCATGATCTTATTGGCTATCTATAGGTTGAGAAATCAAGAGAGATATACATATATAAATATATGTGGAGTAGGACCTGACGTTATTAAAATTGCAAAGTTATCGAGCATTGGAATGTCGTTTTTATAATTTGATTGACCGAACGTATATACGAATATTTGATGCGTCCGATACGAATTTCATCTTTAATGCGTGTCATAATCTTGGTGGAATGTCGATCGCGGAAAAGCTTGTATTGTTTTAAAAAAATGAGTATAAGGAATGACTTAATATCGTCTCGAGCTTCTTTTAGATAGGATTGGATTATGGCAGATGTCACAGAACAGGCCTACAACTGTAATGGGAATTCCAGAGTAAAACATGGAGTTGTAAAAGTATTATACGACTCGCGAGACTCATCCTTGTCGATGAGTAAATCTTATTTATGACAATAGCAATAGTTTCCTATTCGCGTGTGTTTTACGATATCGCAATATATGCCCTTCGAACGAAATTATAGCATACATAAAAAAAGTAAAAACATCACCCTATATTATAGTCATACAGTTATTGAGTTTTCACAGTTGACGTGGTTCACGATCGATTTTATTCGATAAAATTAATTGACAAAAATAAATTATTTGAGGCATTTAATAATTGTACCGTTTATTTATAATCGCGCGAACGTGGAGTCGCAACAATTTTCGCAGCATTTTATGCTTTTCAGCAACGTCACGTGAGAACAGTTGGTCGCTGTCGCATCTTTGCACTGCGATAAAGATCGACCGACCGATTCGAAATTCTCTATACGATCTTTATGGCAATCGACACTGCGTTATACCCATAACTCATCCCACGCTGGGGATTCGAAACGTGTTTGTTTTATTACTGGAACATACAGTACACGAAATATACGTCGCACATAAATACGATTCACACGTGATCTATATAAATCGATTTTATCGAGACTGTTGATCTTTATAGAATCTTTCTACTCTGATAATCTCGAAAAGTTACTTTTAACAATATTTATTTATTATATAATATATTAGGGCAGGCGATTCGTTTGTACCTAATTTTTATATTCCATTTTTATTTCGCAAAAGTAATGCGAAGATCTTATCTCGTATAAAGCACTCACCTGTGTGCGTACCGGATGCTGAGAGATGAGCCAGGCGGTAGATCGTCAGGAGCCGAAGGAGCCACATGACATTACACATGACTGCTCGCTGCCTTAACTGTTCCCGCTGCTGCGGCCCATGTACCACGGCCTTGACATTGTTGTCATCTGCAATCACAAATGCGGGAATAAGTAAGTAGTCGAGCTTTACGCCTGGACTATATATAATGAAATTTATTATTTTCCGGCGTCACGCGAGTTGTTTCATCGCGTCGAGTAATCCGCAGATTTAAAATTCCGTAGCGTGCTAAGAAAAAGATTTGCGACATATTTTTATATTAATTTAGCATTAAATTCCGATGAATTATTTACCGAACAGCATGACTTTTATACGTCATACAGATGATAAATCGATAATAGATTATAAGGAACAACGGTGTGATTCGCTGAATTTATTTATTATTTAATTATTAGTCATGATTGATCGTAGCAAATGAACGTTCACATCTCATCCATATTCATTTTGCAAAGGATTATAAATATTAATAATCGCGCATGTGGAGTAGGACCTGACGTTATTAAAATTGCAAAGTTATCGAGCATTGAAATGTCGTTTTTATAATTTGATTGACCGAACGTATATATTGGATGATTGCATAAGTTCGTGCCCGATTTTCATAGATGGCATTAAGTTACTGCATGGCGGAGTTCTATTGTTTTCGTGTGGTAATTGTTGCTTACACCGAATAGATGACATTGTCTTATGTCAATTTAGCGTCAGACATTATTCAGATAAGTCCATTTGTGCATAAGAAAAATCATTAAAAATGGAGAACGAAAAGGTGCATTTGCAGCATGTAATGTTATATGAATTTCGGAAAGGCGTGAGTGTTGGGATTGCACAAAAAAAATATTCAAACCGTTTATTTGGACCGCGCTCCTGCTCTCCGAACAACCTGATACGAATATTTGATGCGTCCGATACGAATTTCATCTTTAATGCGTGTCATAATCTTGGTGGAATGTCGATCGCGGAAAAGCTTGTATTGTTTTAAAAAAATGAGTATAAGGAATGACTTAATATCGTCTCGAGCTTCTTTTAGATAGGATTGGATTATGGCAGATGTCACAGAACAGGCCTACAACTGTAATGGGAATTCCAGAGTAAAACATGGAGTTGTAAAAGTATTATACGACTCGCGAGACTCATCCTTGTCGATGAGTAAATCTTATTTATGACAATAGCAATAGTTTCCTATTCGCGTGTGTTTTACGATATCGCAATATATGCCCTTCGAACGAAATTATAGCATACATAAAAAAAGTAAAAACATCACCCTATATTATAGTCATACAGTTATTGAGTTTTCACAGTTGACGTGGTTCACGATCGATTTTATTCGATAAAATTAATTGACAAAAATAAATTATTTGAGGCATTTAATAATTGTACCGTTTATTTATAATCGCGCGAACGTGGAGTCGCAACAATTTTCGCAGCATTTTATGCTTTTCAGCAACGTCACGTGAGAACAGTTGGTCGCTGTCGCATCTTTGCACTGCGATAAAGATCGACCGACCGATTCGAAATTCTCTATACGATCTTTATGGCAATCGACACTGCGTTATACCCATAACTCATCCCACGCTGGGGATTCGAAACGTGTTTGTTTTATTACTGGAACATACAGTACACGAAATATACGTCGCACATAAATACGATTCACACGTGATCTATATAAATCGATTTTATCGAGACTGTTGATCTTTATAGAATCTTTCTACTCTGATAATCTCGAAAAGTTACTTTTAACAATATTTATTTATTATATAATATATTAGGGCAGGCGATTCGTTTGTACCTAATTTTTATATTCCATTTTTATTTCGCAAAAGTAATGCGAAGATCTTATCTCGTATAAAGCACTCACCTGTGTGCGTACCGGATGCTGAGAGATGAGCCAGGCGGTAGATCGTCAGGAGCCGAAGGAGCCACATGACATTACACATGACTGCTCGCTGCCTTAACTGTTCCCGCTGCTGCGGCCCATGTACCACGGCCTTGACATTGTTGTCATCTGCAATCACAAATGCGGGAATAAGTAAGTAGTCGAGCTTTACGCCTGGACTATATATAATGAAATTTATTATTTTCCGGCGTCACGCGAGTTGTTTCATCGCGTCGAGTAATCCGCAGATTTAAAATTCCGTAGCGTGCTAAGAAAAAGATTTGCGACATATTTTTATATTAATTTAGCATTAAATTCCGATGAATTATTTACCGAACAGCATGACTTTTATACGTCATACAGATGATAAATCGATAATAGATTATAAGGAACAACGGTGTGATTCGCTGAATTTATTTATTATTTAATTATTAGTCATGATTGATCGTAGCAAATGAACGTTCACATCTCATCCATATTCATTTTGCAAAGGATTATAAATATTAATAATCGCGCGGAGAATTATTAATGAAGCAGGTAGCATAAAGCGACCGGACAAATAGAATAATCACGTACGTAAAAATGATCCCGGATCCGCGATGTTATAGAGCGAATGTCTCACGCAGAATGCGAGATTCCGGACTTTTCCGGAAAATAGCAACGGGAAAGGAGGAAGAAGCTGCGCGGCGCAGCTCGGGCGCATCGTTGCCATAACGTAATTAGCTCGTTTTATACTGGCGCTCGTAAGTCGGCTGACTGCCGTGCTAATATGAAAGTATCGCCGTCTCTACGGGTATTAACTTCTAAACTTTCCCACGGGCAGTGTGCGAGGATTTTAATTAAGGTATGATTAAACATCGCACAAGTAATTGAATGAAAAAAGTAATTTGTATTTAATGTCAGCTATTGTGCATCATCCATTCGATATTTTACCCTTCAAGGACTGTTTAAACGCTTGTTAAAGAATTCGTTTTAAATTCGAAGTTATTTTAAAATTTAAGAATTTTCTGCAAGAAGAGTTCATAATCGCTTCCTACATTGCTTCACACACATGTATGCCTATTCTCTATATTGACAAATTGATAGTTTGTATGCTTCGCGATATTGAGGAGATTACAGCCAATAATTGCGAAATCAGATTGAGATCGAGATATCCTATATATCCGTTTAATACGAGTGAGAAATACACGATCTCACGTATCACCGTCGTTATCCCAATCCCGATTTCGATGATGCAGCGAAATCAAAACCGACTGCAATCGTGTATCATGTATCACCCGTAATTGTATATTACTTAGCCCTTTTAACGATTACGTAGCCCCTTCCGTTAAAGTTCACTGATGTAATCAGTGATTAATAATTTCACGAGATGATCAGTTTCAAAGCCTCGTCGCAAGCTTAAAATCGCTTATCGATGCCATTAGGAGCGATTGATATTGCGTAATGTCAATTTTATTCCTCTTCGGAATAATGTTATTCTTTCGAAATCGCAGCAAATTTGTATAATATTTTCAATGTTTTGTACTCGATATATTAACATTTGTGCTATTAAAATTATAGTTTCAAAATACCATTTATTTTATTCCAATTATACATTCTTATACCTATTTCTTACAGAAATCCGAAAGAAATGTCGTCGCGCTGCGAGCATGTTTCTGATAGCTAAAATATCTCTGCAATTAGGATAAATGCTAATGGAAATGCGGCAGGGCACTCCTTTCCAGATTACATTAGCATAAAAGGCTTGACCGAAGGCCTTAGCTTTTACTCGAGAACGCTAAACTTCTCTCGTGCCACTCCGTTAGCATCGCTGTCGATATGCGCTCAATTTGATTTTGATTAGATATGCGAGCACGTTTTAATAAGAATCACGTTCAAAATTTGTGTGTCGTCACAAATTGCGGTGATTTAATTTCCAATGCTACTACTGTTCCAAATTTCCGATTTTACATATAATAGCAGATGTTTTGCGATTTGGAATTAATTTTTTTAGCAAAAACTATACAATGTGTAATCCATATAATTCTGTTTTTCCTAAAATAGATGCTGCGAAACTTATGCAAGAAAAAATAAAAAAATCAACGTGAAACAATTCATTTTACTGAGGTATTTTATTAAAACAGCAAAAACAAATTGAACAGGATCGAAACGGTATTGCTTAGTGATTCTTATCAGAAAGTTACTAGACGATATTTTCCTCGCGAAGGAAATACATTCTAAAAATCGATGCGCGATGTTTACGCAAAGAGGCAATATATCGATCGAATTAAATCTCTTTCGCGACGATGCGCCGTCACGATGCACTATTAATTCCAAACGATATATTTCGGTGAACAGGGAGAAAAGAGACTGCACCATCGTTGCGATTTATCTATCTCCGACCAATCTATCCCAACCCCCTTAGTGTCCCGTTAGTTTATTTCGTTGAAAATCGTGGCTCTCGTGCCAAAAATCGTCCACATATACCGTTACATTTATTTTATTCTATACTCACTATTGATTCTCTGAATTCTGATACTCTTTTCTTTTCTTAATCTGAGTTTCTTCCGAATTATAAAATCTGCCACGCGGTACCCGGATATAATTTAATCTCTAGAAACATTGAGTTAATTTCCAATGTTACTACTATTCCAAATTTCCGACTTTACGTGTAATAGCAGATTTGGAATTAATTTTTTTTTCAAGAAAAATTTTGAGTATAGAGCTATTATTTGTTATATAATATAATACCTGACTGTTATCTCTTATAATACATTTATTAATAATTTTCATTTATTAATAAAATTGTAAAATAAAATTTAATTCGTAGGAATTTAATTACTATTACTGCTTTTAATTAAGAAAAAACTGATTCCAAAGATAAAAAAAATTGTCTCTCATTAAAAAAAAAAAAAGATTGGTAGCTTCCCATTTATCTCGAAAATTAGATAAGCGCGAATAAAATGTTTTCATGGAAATAATTTTACGAATAAAAAAAAAAATTAGTCAAATATTTTTGATACATTGATGCTCGATCGGTTCATACATACATATTAATCGTAAATAATCGATGTATGATATGCATGTCGGTGTTTCGCGGGCGCGCCACTTTGCGGTTTATAACAGTCAGTCGATTTATATTCATTGTGTATTTTTATATATTCAGTCATATAATGGAGCGAATTTGTTTATGCCACTCGTATATTTACTCCGTTTGCTTGCACATGCTTCGCATATATTGCAAAGTGTACAGGTGAATATTT